AATAGATAGGTAGGTAGGCAGGCAGGCAGGCAGGCAGGCAGATAGATATGGAGAGAGAGAGACACAGAAAGATACACAGACAGACAGACAGACAGAAAGACAGACAGATAGATAGATATGGAGAGAGAGAGAGAGAGACAGAAAGATGGATGGATGGAGAGAGAGAGAGAGAGAGAGAGAGAGAGAGAGAGAGAGAGAGAGAGAGAGAGAGACAGAGACAGAGACAGAGACAGAGACAGAGACAGAGAGACAGAGACAAGACAGACAGATAACCTTTATTGTCATTTTTTTTCCTGTGGGCACAATGGCACACATTAAAAATGAAATTTAGTTGCTTCCTCTCAAAGTGTACACCTACACAACGCACATTTAAAACACACTACATACAACCTATGTATACTCCTACACCCTTTACATATAAGTAACAAATAAATATTATTCACTGTCCATCTTGAATGCATAACGGAAGGAGGAAGAGTTGAGAGTTCACAACGTTAACACTGTATGGGACAAAGCTGTGACTGAATCTGGATGTTCTGCTTCGGATACCACAGAGCCCCCCCCCTCCCAGAAGGAAAACAAGGAAATCAGGTCGTGAAGAAGGATGTGTGGTGTCCCAGACAATCTTGTGGACCCTGCTCAAGTAGTGCTTCTGTGCTATGTCCTGGATGGCAGGGAAGGGACTGCCAATGATCTTTTCGGCCATCCTCACCACTCTCTGCACCGCCTTCCTGTCTGAATTTTGCCATCAGTAGTAGATTTTCCCCCTTCCTTGTTCCTTCTGTTTGTGCCTTTCCCCCCACCAGAGGCCTATGCATGCTATAAGGAGCTTACCTGCCCCATATGTAGGGACCGTAGAGGCTCTCTGCGGCGCTCAGCCAGTGGTCCACCCGACCTGAGAGTTTGCCGATGGCGGTTGACAAGAGGCACGGCTCGGCCCAGACTTTGCTCCTGTTGCAAAGAAGGCAGAAAAAGAGCAGAATTCGCAATGCGCCTAGCACGGATTTGGCATTCCGTGCTGCGGAGGTGCAAACTGACACCTAACTGCACACAGTGGTTAAGATAACAGCCTAGCAATACCCCTGTACTCCATCCACCCTGCTCAATCAGACAACAGTGTCTTACCTGGGACCAACGTCTGCGGCAACAAGATCCCCAGCCACTAAAGCCACCAGGTAAGCAGGAATGGGGTACTCCATGCAGAACTGGTAGATGCCCTCTTCTTCCTCATAAGTACTTTGGGTGGCGCTCATTAACACCTGCATACCTGCAGGGGCCTGTAAAAAAAAACAAACAAGAATAACAGAATAATAGAGTTGACAGGAATAGAATAGACCTGGAAGGGACCTTGGAGGTCTTCTAGTCCAGCCCCCTGTTCAAGCAGGAGACCATACACAATTTTAGATAAGTGGTTGTCCAGCCTCTTCTTAAAAACCTCCAGTGATGGAGCACATAACAGCATCTGACGGCAAGCTGTTTCATTGGTTAATTGTCCTCACTGTTAGGAAGTTTCTCCTTAATTCCAGGTTGCTTCTCTCCTTGGTCAGCTTCCATCCACTGTTTCTTGCCTTGCCTTCTGGTGCTTTGGAGAACAGACCCTCTCTTCTTTGTGGCAGCCCCTCAAATACTGGAATGCTGCTATCATGTCACCCCTATTTCTTCTTTCCTTTATACTAGCCAAACCCAAGTCCTGCAGCCGTTCTTCATATGTTTTAGTCTCCAGGTCTTTGACCATCTTAGTTGTTCTTCTCTGAACTTTTTTCCAAAGTCTCAACATCTTTTTTTGTGATATGGTGACCAAAATTGGCTGCAGTATTCCAGGTGTGGTCTTACTAGGGCTTTGTAAAGCAATACTAGTACTTTGCGTGATCTTGAATCTATGCCTCTGTTTATACAACCCAGGATTGTATTAGCTTTTTTGGCTGCTGCTGCACATTGCTGGCTCATAGTCAAGTGATAGTCCACCAGGACTCCAAGGTCCCTCTTACAGTTACTGTTTTTAAGCCAGGTCTCGCCCAATCTCTATTCATGCCTTTCCAGGTATTCCAGGTATGATCTTACTAGGGTTTTATAAAGGGTTTTACTAGGGTTTTATAAAGGCCTTACTGTCAGGAAGTTTCTCCTTAATTCCAGGTTGCTTCTCTCCTTGATCAGTTTCCAACCGTTTGTTTCTCGTCCTTTCCTCTGGTGAACAAGTGACATTATAATAATAATAATAATAAAGTTGGAAGGGACCTTGGAGGTCATCGAGTCCAACCCCCTGCTCAGGCAGGAAACCCTATACCATTTCAGACAAATGGCTGTCCAGTCTCTTCTGAAAAACTTCCAGTATTGGAGCATTCACCGCTTCTGGAGGCAGGTTGTTCCACTGGTTAATTGTTCTCACTGTCAGGAAGTTTCTCCTTAGTTCTAGGTTGCTTCTCTCCTTGATCAGTTTCCACCCGTTGCTTCTTGTCCTGCCTTCAGGCGCTTTGGAGAATAGCTTGACTCCCTCTTCTTTGTGGCAGCCCCTGAGATATTGGAACACTGCTATCCTGTCCCCCCTCTCCAAAGGAAGCGATGACCACCAAGGGAGGCGATTCAGAAAGGGGATTAGGATATTAATGGAGAAGAAAAAAAAAACAAAAAAACCCAAACCCTGATACTGGTCATCAGGGCTTCTGGATCACAAGCTGAATTCTGGCCGTTAGTGAGCATGAGGTTCAGGTCTGATCACGCCTGGTTCTTCTCACATTCAGGGGCTATGAAAAGTGTGTCTTACCTTGACAACCGCAGAGTAGGTGCATTTCACAGCCGGTGTGTCGAAACAAGGGAAGAAGGAGCGGTTGCACACCGAATGGCCTTGGGTGAAAACAAATGGCTTGGTGTTGCCGTAGGTGAGCTCAGGATCCAGCCACCAGATCTGACAGAAGGAATAGATAAGGGGGGAAAAAAAAAGCAAATTTTAGATACTCTTCGACTTATGATCACAATTAAGGCCAAAATTTCTGTTGCTAAGTGAGAGAGTTAACTTTTGCCCCATTATACCATCTTTTTTGCCACGGTGGTTAAATGAAATGACTGTAGTAACACAGTAAGACGCTTCATTTAGTGACCGTTCAACGGCACCGGAAAAAAGGGACTTATGGCCACTTTTCACACTTATGACCATTGCAGGCTCCCCGTAGTCACATGATTTACAGCTGGATGCTTGACAACTGACTCGCACGTGTGACGGTTGCTGAGTCTCGGAGTCATGCGATCCTCTTTTTGCGACATTCTGACAAGCCAAGTCAATGGGGAAAGCTGGATTCATTTAGCAACCATGTGACTAACTCAGGGGTAGGCAACCTTGGCTCTTTTATGAGTCGTGGACTTCAACTCCCAGAATTCCTGAGCCAGCCATGCTGAGGGGAAAGGGAGAGGTTTCCAAGCTGAGCCATGCTGGCTCAGGAATTCTGGGAGTTGAAGTCCACAAGTCATGAAGGGGCCATAGTTCCCCCATGCTGGCTCAGGAATTCTGGGAGTTGAAGTCCACAAGTCATGAAGGGGTCCATAGTTCCCCCATGCTGGCTCAGGAATTCTGGGAGTTGAAGTCCACAAGTCATAAAAGAGCCAAGCTTGCCTACCCCTGGACAAACTTAACAACTGCAGTGAGTCATTTAACAAATGTGCCCCCCCCCCAAAAAAAGGTTGTAAAATGGGGCAACATTCTCTTAACAAATGTCTCACTTAGCAACAAAAATTTTGGGTTCCGTTGTGGTCGTTAAGTCGAGGACGACCTATATCATGCAAAGTTCAGAAGGACAAATGAAAGGCAGGATATAAGAAAACAAGAGAAGGAAATCAAATGATCTCTAGTTTACACCCCAAATGCACAGCATTCACGATACTTCTCTCATGTCAGCCTCACTCACTGTATCTTTCCAGGTACCGATAACCTAGAAAAAAGACATGAATTTTCTATTCTGATGCACTTTTTTGCTGGAGAGGTAAAGCCAAGAAAACAAGTCAAAAGAGTAAAAACCACAAACCGACAGCATGTGTTTTTTAAGACTTTTTTTTTTAAAAGAGGGCTTCCTCTGTCATTTTGGAGAGTGGGCACACCACAGCAACCCACAGTATAAAAATCTCTGGTGTAGGCAGTCCTCGACTTATGAAAAATGAAAATGAAATTCAGTGGTGGAAAAACGTAAGGTTCTACTTTTAGGCAAGAAAAACCAAATGCACAGTTAGAGGTCAGGGGTGTTCAAACTTGGCTCTTTTATGAATTGTGGACTTCAACTCCCAGAATTCCTAAGCCAGCGTGCGCGCTGGCTGAGGAATTCTGGGAGTTGAAGTCCACAAGTCATAAAAGGGCCAAGTTTGAAGACCCCTGGTATAAGTGGTACCTTGCTTAAAAGCAGCAACTGTGAGAGGGATCTCAGAGTCCTAGTGGACAATAACTTAAATGTGAGCCAGCCGTGTGCTGCAGCTGCCAAAAAAGCCAACACAGTGCTAGGCTGCATTAACAGAGGGATAGATTCAAGATCACATGAAGTGTTAATATCACTTTATAAGGCCTTGGTAAGGCCGCACTTGGAATACTGCATCCAGTTTTGGTCGCCATGATATAAAAAAGATGTTGAGACTCTAGAAATTTCTAGAGTGCAGAGCAGAGCAACAAAGATGATCAGGGGACTGGAGGCTAAAACATATAAGGAAAGGCTGCTGGAATTGGGAATGTCTAGTTTAATGAAGAGAAGGACGAGGGGGGACATGATAGCAGTCTTCCAATATCTCAGGGGCTGGCCCAAAGAAGAGGGAGTCAAGCTATTCTCCAAAGCGCCTGAAGGCAGGACAAGAAGCAATGGGTGGAAACTAATCAAGGAGAGAAGCAACCTAGAAGTAAGGAGAAACCTCTTGACAGTGAGAACAATTAACCAGTGGAACAACCTGCCTCCAGAAGCGGTGAACGCTCCAACACTGAAAGTTTTTAAGAAGAGACTGGACAGCCATTTGTCCGAAATGGTATAGGGTTTCCTGCCTGAGCAGGGGGTTGGACTAGATGACCTCCAAGGTCCCTTCCAACTTTATTATTATGACCACAATTGAGCCCAACATTTCTGTGGCTAAACAAGATAGTTATGAAGTGAGTTTTTCTTCATCTTATGACCTTCCTTATCCCTGCAGATTAGTATCACAGTTGTTAAGTGAATCTGGCTTCCCCATTGACTTTGCTTGCCAGAAGGTTGCAAAAGGGGATCACGTCACCCTCGAGACATTGCAACTGTCATAAGTACATGCCAGTTGCCAAGCCTCTGAATTTTGATCACGTGACCAAGGGGATGCTGCAATGGTTGTGAGTGTGAAACACGGTCGTAAGTCACTTTTTTCAGTGGTGTTGCAACTTCGAAGAGTCACTAAATGAATGATTTTAAGTCGATGACTACCTGTATAGGGTATTTTTCGTATAAGACTTTGGGGTTGTTTTGTTTTTTTTTTACATTTGCAATGTAACTACCTCCTAAAGCAGAGGTCTTCAAACTTGGCCCTTTTATGACTTATGGACTTCAATTCCCAGAATTCTCAGCCAGGTACGCTGGCTGAGGAATTCTGGGAATTGAAGTCCACAAGTCATGAAGGGGCCATAGTTCTCCCATGCTGGCTCAGGAATTCTGGGAGTTGAAGTCCACAAGTCATAAAAGGGCCAGGTTTGAAGACCCCTGTCCTAAAGTCACTTTTGCTTTCCCTAACAAGAGCTTTCTGCTTTAACCGATAAGGGACTTTATTAGATCAATTAGATCAGGTGTAGGCAGCCATGGCTCTTTTATGGTTCATGGACTTCAACTCCCAGAATTCCTGAGCCAGCCATGCTGAGGGGAAAGGGAGAGGTTTCCAAGCTGAGCCATGCTAGCTCAGGAATTCTGGGAGTTGAAGTCCACGAGTCATAAAAGAGCCAAGGTTGCCTAACCCTGAACTAGATCAAACAACCATAGGATGCAAGTTCACCTCCTTGCCTCATTTTAAAGATCCTCTCTAAAACTAACCTCCAAGTGTATCCTATGTATTGATAAAGTGTCACTCCTGCCTGAAGTAGATAATATAGAGCAGTGGCTGGCTGAGGAATTCTGGGAATTGAAGTCCACCCATCTGAAAGCTGACAAGGTAGAGAAACACTGATATAGATGCATTAAAAATAGAATTTCATGTAACAATATGCCGCCACCTTAAAATATGCCATCCCCGGGCAGCCTTTTTGATCTCCCCTAGACAGAGAGAATAGAAAAGCCAGCCAAGGCCGGCATATTTTAAAATG